CATTTCGGGAATTACAAACAGCCTTACTGAGTGCCCCAGCATTGGCCATCCCAGATGTTACCAAGCCCTTCCAATTGTATATGGATGAAAAAGCAGGGGTGGCCAAAGGAGTTTTAACTCAGACTCTGGGACCTTGGTGAAGACCAGTGGCCTATCTTAGCAAGAAACTAGATCCAGTAGCAGCTGGGTTCCCCCCTTGCCTCCGCATAATTGCTGCAACAGCCCTCCTGGTCAAGGATGCGAGTAAACTGACTTTGGGTCAAAATCTTATCGTAACCACCACACACGCTATTGAGGGCCTCCTCCAGACTCCACCAGACCGATGGATGACGAATGCCCGAGTAACGGGGTATCAGGTCCTTCTCCTCAATGAACCAAAAGTGACCTTCTGACCCCCAGCGGTGCTAAATCCAGCCACACTGCTGCCAGAGGAGCTGGCTGACCATCCACACGACTGTGGGGAGGTCCTAACCCAAGTCACAGGAATAAGGCCGGATCTCAGAGACATTCCCCTCCCCGATGCCGAGATGACTCTGTTCACAGATGGGAGTAGCTACATGGCCAATGGAAAGAGGTATGCAGGGGCTGCGGTGGTTTCTTCTGAGCAGGAACTCTGGACAGCAGCCCTGCCACATGGAACTTCAGCACAAAGAGCAGAACTGATTGCACTCACTAAGGCACTGCAGATGGCCAAAGGTAAAACCGCCAACATCTATATGGACAGCAGGTATGCCTTTGCTATTCTCCATATACATGGGGCTATTTATAAAGAAAGGGGCCTATTAACAGCAGAAGGAAAAGGAATTAAAAACAGAGGAGAAATATTGGCTCTCCTCCAGGCTATTTGGGACCCAAAAGAGGTGGCTGTTATGCATTGCCCGGGACACCAGAAGGGGACTGATCTGATTGCAAAAGGAAACCACTTAGCAGATCAAGCCGCAAAGCAAGCAGCTCGAGAAACAGTGCAAGAACTGGTTACACTCCTGGCTCCAGCCCTACCAGAAAAACCGAACTATTCAGAAGAAGATTTAAAGTATTTGCAGAAATGGGTTAAATTGGATTATGAAGGGGACTGGGCTAAGATTAAAACAGGAAAAATAATTCTTCCTCGAAGACTAGGTAAGAAGTTAGTAGATCAGATACATCAGGGTACTCATTTGGGGACAGGCAAACTCAAGGAGCTTATAGGCAAGCAGTTCCAGGTTTCTAAATTAGGGCGTATGGTTCAGGATGTAGTTGATAGATGTGCTCAATGCCAGGCAGTTAATGTGGGAAGAACTAAGATGGGAAGAGGGAAAAGAGTAAGAGGTAAGGAACCAGGAATTTATTGGGAAATAGATTTTACGGAAATGAAACCCCGAAAATATGGGCACAAGTATATCTTGGTTTTTGTGGATACCTTTTCAGGCTGGGTGGAGGCTTTTTCTGCCAAACATGAGACAGCAGGAGTGGTAGCCAAAAAGCTATTAGAAGAGATAATTCCTAGGTTTGGGCTGCCTCTTGTGATCGGGTCAGACAATGGCCCTGCATTTGTGAGTTCAGTCTCACAGGCATTGGCCAAGGCCGTGGGCACAAATTGGAAACTACATTGTGCCTATCGGCCCCAGAGTTCTGGGCAGGTAGAGAGAATAAACCGGACTCTTAAAGAGACTTTGACAAAACTAATTCTGGAGACTGGCGGTGGATGGGTAGATCTCCTTCCTTTCGCCCTCCTCATGGCCCGATGTACACCCTACTTAAACAAGGGGATCCCATTTGAAATAATGTTTGGGAGACCCCCCCCCCACTCTGTCCTCGGCTACAGGAGGTTGTCCTAGCAGAAATGACTGATCAGTCTGTACTTCAGTCACTGCAGGCATTACAGTCTGTCTTTAAAAAAGCCCACGCAGGGATCCGAACTGCCCACACTGGGACGGAGACAATGGTGGAACCACATCCTTACCAACCTGGGGACTTGGTTTTGATATGTCGCTATCAAGTGGGGAACTTGGAGCCTCGCTGGAAGGGACCGTTTACTGTTATCCTAACCACCCCCACAGCAGTAAAAGTAGAAGGCATTAGGGCCTGGGTTCACGCGGGTCATGTTAAACGATCCGAGAGTAGGGAAGCCCCGCAGAGATGGAAGCTGCAGCCGACAGACCCCGCTGACCATGGACTAAAACTAAGACTAAAAAAACTGTAAGTTTATTGTTGCTGTACTAAAGAAAAATTGGAGCAATAAAATGTTAGAACTAGCTGAAAAAGTCAAGGATTTGACTAATCTCCAAAGAAAAGGGGGGAATGTAAGGGTCTGCCCCTCCCAGAGGAACTAGCTTGTGGACCCTGGAAGTAGGGGCAGGGCAGGCCGGGCGGAGACGTCCAATCAGTGGGGCATGGGTATATCCACTGGGTAAATTGCGATTCAATTGGCTAACTGTGTAGGCATGGGGCTCAACTACCCCCATAAAGGTTGGTCTGCGAGGCTGGCGGGAGCAGAAAAAGAAGGAGAGCTGTCAGAAGGAGCAGAAGAAGGAGAGTCGGCGGGAGCAGAAGAAAGAGAGCTGTGACAGCTCTTGTAAGAGCTGTAGGAGCTCTTGTTAAGAGCTGTAGGAGCTGTAACAGCTCTTATAAGAGCTGTGAGAGTTGTGATAGCTCTTCTCAGAGCTAGACGAGCAGCCCCACCCACACCACGGCTTCGGCAGTGGCGCCGTGGGGAGCAGTGGAGCCACCAGCAGCCCCGAGCACACGAACGGTCCCAGCACGCCAGCGGTCCCAGCACGCCAGCAGCAGCCGAGCCACCAGCGGTCCCGACGCCAGCGGTCCCGACGCCAGCGGTCCCAGCACTCCAGCGGTCCCAGCACTCCAGCAGCAGCTGAGCCACCAGCGGTCCCGACACCAGCGGCCCTGCCGACACACAGCGGGGAATGGCCTAGACGCCAGCAACCTCGCTGCAAATGGCCTCGCTGCCAGGAGCGGCCTTGATACCCTGAGCTGCAGCTTTGCTGGAGCTGCGCCATTCCAGGGAGCGGCTTCGTCTGGAAAGAGGCTTCCTCGGTGAGCAGCCCTGCGGGAGGCAGCATCATCAGGAAAGAGGCTTCCTCCAGAGTGGCCTCTTTTTGTGAGCAGCCTTGTCCAAGGAGCGGCCTCGCCGGAGCAGCCCTTGTCCGGGGAGCAGCCTTTCCAGGGAGCAGCCTTTCCGGGGAGCAGCCCTGTCTGAGGAGCGACCTCATCAGCTGCGGCCTCGTCCTGGGAGTGGCCTCATCCAGAGTGGCCTCATCTACAGAAAGGCCTTGTCCAGAGCAGCCACGTTGGGAGCGGACTTGCTGGGGTCATCGTCGTCACCTTTTTGTAAGAGACAGCCCTGACTGGTCAGTTTGATTTTTGATGGTTGGCGTGAAATAAAGCTTTGATTGATTTTTGCTTTATATCAGTTTCGTTCCTTTGATCACGGACCCTAACAGTTACCACTGACCAATTAATAACAAGTGTTTCACCTGGCCTTGGCTATTTCAGAATTCTGCTATTGGACTAGATTCCAGGCAGGAATGACTGTGCATGGTGCTGGACTGTAAGCTCCACCAGGGCAGAAGCTATGATATCTCTATCTATCTATCTATCTATCTATCTATATTTATCTATATCTACATATTTATTATTTATATATTATTATTTTATGTTATTATATCACATATATTTATACGTATTATTATATATATTTATTAATTATTTTTAGAAGCTATGGTATTTAAATTAAAGTTTCCTGGGTTCAGAACTTAAGAGAACTTAGGTCAGCCACGAGGTAGGCAGCTCACTAGACTTTTGTAGTTTCCAACTGGGTGCAGTGCCACTAAGAGGGCCAGGCACTGAAACAAGCTCTAAATCCTCAAAGAAAAATCGGTCTGAATCATCTTAGCTGGTCCTTGAGTATCAACCCCTGTGCGCTAATCACTGTGCCAAGAGCTTTCACTCGGTTCAATACTCACAATCCTTTTCTTTTTCTTCCTATGGTTTGCAGTTTTTGAATGACAGGTAGCTAAATCCTAGTGAGTGTTTGTACCAAGGGAGTCTCACAGAGCCTAAGGTTACAGTAATGTTATTACAGAGTTACTCTCACAATCCTTTTAGTTTAAAAATTGAGATACTATTCAATTATATTAAAGTGATTTGAGTGCACTAATATTAACTGTATGCTTGATAAATTTTTACAGATGGATACCAACCAGATCAAGAGAAAGAACGTTTCCAGCTCCCAGTAGGTTCCCTCGTGCCCCTTCTTCCATCCCCGAGGTAACCATTATTCTAACTTTTGTCACCATCAGTAAGTTTTGTACGAAATTATTGTGGAACGACTGGTCCGCGGCGGTGGACGAGGCGCACGCTCGGCTTCCTTCCTAAAAAGCATCCCGCCGCGGTTCCAGGAGTCCACAGAGCCCCGGCTCCCCTCACATCTACCCAGCGCCGGACTCCACGTAGGCGCTGCGGGAGCACGCCACAATGGCTGCCCGCGCTCACCCGCGCCTGCCTCGCCGCATTCTCCCACGTTTCCAGTGGGTACGCCTCCCGCGCGAGGAGCCAGCCGGGCGTGGCCCTGGGCGCCACCCGCCGGAACCCCAGTGGCCAAGCGGACGCTCCTGAGCCCGGAATGTGGGGCGCGCGCCTATTGGTTGAACTTGCCCCCGTGGACCCGCTGGCCCCAGAGCCCGCCTCCAAGCCCTCTCCCGGCGCTCCCATTGGCAGTTCGCGTTCCCACCTCCCGACCCCGCGCCTGCTCCCGCCCCCAGCCAGCCTCGATGGAAACGGGGTTGGTGAGGGTGGGAGGCCCAAGCGAGGAGGAAGGGGTGAGCTTTCCTCCCGGTAAGGGGGCGCGAGAGACAAGACAGGCCAATCAGGACAGGACGTGGAAAAGAGGCGCCGCGCCAGCCAGTCACATCGCGAGGTTCGGGTCGGGAAGGCTGACGCGAGTGGCACAGCCAATGGGCGTGCCACTACCCGTCCGCTCTTCAGCAGCCGGTCGGGGGTGGTGGAGGAGCGAGTGAGGAGAGCGCGACGGCGGCCGCGGAGCCATCGCTGGACGGTCAGGGGGAAAGCGAGGCCCGAGCCTCTGCGTCTCGGTGAGAGGCGGCGACTGCCGGGAGAGGGGAGGCCGGGCAGCGGGCCGCTCCTCGCCTGGTCCCGGCCGCGGCTGCGGGACCCGGGGCGGCAGGCCGCCAGAGGCGGAGGCGACACCCGCCGCCCCGCCCCCGCCCCCACCCCGGGCCGCCCCGAGCCGGGGGCGCCTGCCTCTGCCCGGGTGGTCTGTGCGCAGCTGAGCCCGGGCCGCCGCCCTCTGGAGGGCCAGGCCGGCGAGCGGAGACGCAGGGAGGGCCTGGTTTGCAGCCGCAGAGCCTTGGGGGCTCCGCTTGGTGTGGGGAGGCCGTGGAGAGGTGGTGAAGGTGGGGCGGGGTACTCAACGGAGGAGCGGGCTTGTGTGCCCCGGGGCGGCAGTCGGAGGGGGCGTGTGATTGAATTTCTGGTCAGAGGGGGAAGAAAGTGATGGGAAAAGGGTGATGCTCAGAAAAGGGTGCCCGGGGTGAAGGTGCGGAGCCGGGGAATGTGGCTGGCCTTTTGGAAGTAGGCGCTGATGGAGTGGAGGGGGAGATCAGCTGGGAGTGAAGGGAGGGAAGGTTTTGAAGGTTAAGATCTCTGGACAAACGAGGACGAGTGGATTTGGAGTGAGAGGGACCTACTCAAACCGGAAGGTGACTGAGAGAAGATTTTAGATGAGGTGTGGCTGGAAGCTGTTTGACTAGAAGGCGTTAGGTGACCAGTTAGGAGAAAGTGTACAAGTTGCCGACCGTCGGGTGTGGATCTTTTATGACTTAAGTGAGCAAGAATAACTGTTCCTTTTGGGAGAGGCTGGAAAGCCGAGTGTTCCAGGTAGGAAGGCCTCAGTCAGCCAGGTTCATAGGTTCATACACTACTCATGAGGGCCAAGTACTCAAAGTTAATTCTCACTACTGAGGCTGTTTGTGTCTCCCTTCTCCACCCCATTAGTTCATCTAATTGTTTTGCCACAGTAGCACACACACCCTCTCAAAAAGCAGATATTGTTTGTTTTTCATGGATGGCAATGAGGAATCACCTAATTCTTTGTCTTAAAAAAATTAGAATCTGTTGGTTTAAAGGCAGCATCAGAAGGTACATTCAGAAAATCTGCCCTGTAGGGGAATGTCTCTCCTATTTTGTTGGACATAGTATAAAAATGATGCAAGATCTCTGAGAGTAACACAGTGAAAATTAACGTGGAAGTACAGTTCTGTTACTGTAAGATCAACCACTTTGATGCAGTAGAATTTGATTATATATCCCATTGTTAGGAAGTTTTTTAGTCTTGGGAAGAGCGTTATAGCTAAATAGGTTCAAAGTTCTTTTCACTTAGAGGAAAGAAAGACATGGTGTGTGTATTATCACTGCTGTTACTTCTCTGTTTAAATCTTTAGGAGTTTTTAGGAAGGAGGAGAGGGTCTGGACTGGGAGTCTGTGGCGTAAGGAGGAACTGTTTGTGGAGACCATTGCAAAAGATGCAAAAAAAAAAGTTTTTATTTGTGGGGTGTGGGCAGAGGTTGAGGACAGAGAAGTAGTAGAAACAAAAGTGGCCCACTCTACATTTTCAGTGGATTTAAATTGGAGGTGCTGATAGGCATCGAGGTGTAATTTCTGCTTGACGTTAGTACAAAAGGATTGTGAAGAGTTAAACACTTCTTGACAAACATAAAGTGTAGAAGACAGAAACCAAAGAGGGCATATGTCGTATAGGATATTTCCTTAGCCAGATCACCAAAGCATCGTAGTTAATGGACCATTCTTTTCTAGGAGATAGAAATAATTTCGTGGAAGTAATTTCTTGGCACTGCTATTCACTGATCACATTTTACCCTTAGTATAACAATACCCAAGTGCTGAGGTGACTCAGAGCAGAGAACTAATCCAAGTGGTGTGGAGTTAATCAGGGAAGGTTTCCAGGAAGAGGTTAGTTTTGAGACATCTTTAGAACTAGGAGTTTGGGTATGTGTTACTGGAAGACATGAAGATGACATTCCAGTAGTCAGCAACTTTGGACAAGAATGACACATTAAAAATGGTTTTAAGGAGGATGGAATATTTGAATGGAGATATAAGAGTGTGGAGATCAATTGAGTCTATGGTTGTAGTTTAGTTGAAAAACAGTGGTTCTGTCTTGTGGCTAGGAGAGAAGAATTAGAATAGTTAATGATGGATTGGAGACAGTAAGGGAAAGAACTCAAAAATATTTTTTGATATTTGTGATAAGAAAATATGTTGACAATAAGTTGGGTTATTGAGAGGTAGATTTGGTGTTCAACCATAAAACAATCAGAAACATTTTTGAGTCCTGTACTAGATTATATTGATAACAGTAGCAAAATTTACTGGGTTCCGCTTTGTGCCAGACACTGTTTTGAGCTATTCGAGCATCATCTTTCTTTGATTATTGCTGTTTTATAGATGAGGGAACTGAGATTCAGAGAGATTTAATTTGCCCAATGTCACACAACTAATAGGTGGCAGGTCAGGATTGACAAAGTCAGTAAATACTAATTGAGCCTAAGCTTCCTGCCAGGCACTGTGTTAAATGCTGAAGGTACAGAGTGGACAAGCAAATCCAAAGGTCATGCTGGAGCCATTTTTTGGGAGGTTGTCAGGAATTAATAGAAGAGAGCCAGTGAAGGAAGAGAAAAAGATGAGCTGGAGAGACTCTTGTAGATACTGAGGAATATATTGTTTTGGAAAATTAGGATAGAAATAGTTTTAAGAAAGAGGAAGTAGTTAACAACAAAATATGTAGCTGAGAGACTCGGAAGAACAGATTGAGAAGAAACTGTGAGTTAAGTCAGGAAAAAACTTGTGTGAATTTAGTCTCAAAAACCAGAATTAAGATAATAAGGTATAGGCAGATAGTTACGCATTATTAGTGGCAAGTGCTCTATACATAGTTAAAATATGATGGCAGTTACGGTCAAATTCATAGGAAAGATGTTGGTATGTCCCTTTCTAAAATTTTAATCTTTGGCTGCTGAGATCGTGGGTATTTTAAAAATGCTCATACACTTTGTATTTTCCAAGTTCAAAAAACAAGCATTACTTTTATAGTTAGTTGGGGAGAAAATCATTCTACTGAAACGAGCTAATAGGGAATATGTGGGTGGGCTTCTCTGCATTATGTTTGGGGAAGGGGAAAGATGGTCTTATTTCAGTGCGAATTGCTGCCTATGAGATACTTGGGTAGGTACATTCCTGTCTTAGAAATGACCAGACACATCCTGAAACTGTATATACTGAAAGATGGCATTTGCTTAATCTGAGGGATCAGGTTACTAAATCACCTTGCAGCATGGAGATATGGTCTTGGTTTTTCTGAACGTTTTTTTTTTTAGGGTTTAATAAATGAATTTAAGGTTAAACAAATGCATACCACTCATTCGATTGAGTCATTTTAACTGTCTTTTGGATTTTATACCCTTCTTTCTTCCTACACATTGGTTCTGTAGTTCCTCTCTTACTGGGTTTGTAATGGGCTTAGAGTTTCAGTTCAGTAAGATGATATGAAAGTGCTGAATTTACATATCACTAATTTAACCTAAAATTTGTCATTGTTTTCTGTTCCCAATTTGAAGAAGAAAAGAGACAAATTTCAAGACAATGAAATAAGCTTCCCTAATCAAATAATTATTCAAGAGCTAATGAGTAGGATTTGCCTCAGGATCAGTACAGTTTTATTCCAGTCTCTAAAATGGAGATGGAAGAATCTTGTAATTCAAGAATAGGATCTAATTTTTATTTTTATTTTTTTTAAAGATTTTATTTATTTATTTGACAGAGAGAGATCACAAGCAGGCAGAGAGGCAGGTAGAGAGAGAGGAGGAAGCAGGCTCCCTGCCGAGCAGAGAGCCCGATGCGGGGCTCGATCCCAGGACCCTGAGATCATGACCCGAGCCGAAGGCAGCGGCCTAACCCACTGAGCCACCCAGGCGCCCCAAGAATAGGATCTAATTTTTAGTTTAATTTGGCCCATAGGGACTGTGGGAGGAAACTTAATATTTCACCTAGGTACTGTACTATGTTCCTTAAATAAATTATTACATTTAGTTCTCATACAATTCTCCAAGGTGGAGAACCTCTTATAGATGAGAGAATGAGGCTCAGAGATTAATAACTTTCCAAATGTTGGAGAGGTAGAACAGAGATGAGATTGAAACCTTCTTTGTGGAAAGCCAGAATTCATGCATATGAGATAAAAGGCAAGAAAGACTTGTTTATATTAATATTTACAGTTTAAAAAAAATGCCACCAAAAAAAAATAAATAAATAAAATGCCACATAGCCTTAGGTGTTTAGTTATTTCGTTACCTTAGAAGATGGCATTGTTGCTCTGTGTATTTGTTTTATGACACTGGCTCTTAAATGATAGTGATTATTATGTGTCTTTTAAGGGTGCATTATATTATCTTTAGAGGGGTATGTTTTCACATTTTAGTATTTTTTAAAATGAAGATGTAATTTACAGTGTCTTTTTGAAAATGCTTATGAAATGGGTACTTTGTCTTTTTTTTTTAATTTGAAGATCTAATTCTGTTTATTAAATGATTCATGAATTGGACAACACCCCATCTAGTAAGTAGAGAGGCACTCCCAAATGTCTACTATGTCTTAAAGTCAAATGTGTGTCTCAGAATTGAGGAAGTGTGGTATATGCATATAGTCTGCATGTACGGGGCCTTAGGAGTTTGTTGTTTGCATTTTCTGCTCAGCTCCTTCCTTTACTTAGTCTATTACTTTTTTTTTTTTTTTTTTTTTTTGGTGTGGTATAATATAGAACTGAAGTATATATTAATAATAAAATACTCATTCTCTTTAGTTAGTGAATATTATAGTGTAGAAGAAAGTACTTTGATGTGGAAAATTAACATTGCACTGTGAATCAGCAGATCTGAGTTTTAATTTTGGTTTTGCTAGTAACTTGATGTGTGTAGCTTGAGGCAAGTCACTTCCCCTCTCTGAGCTTTAGTTTTCTCATCTCTAAAATGGAGTTGGGAGAGGAACTTACAGACTTGTC